GTGTCTGGGCCATCACACACAGCCGGCTGCTTAGGGCTTTCTTCACTTGGAGGGTGACAATGAGGAGGCCAGGGCAGGCCCACAAACTGATTGGCAGCATTTGGTGAGCTGAGCCAGGCAAGCCAACTGTTTAATACAATCACATGCTAAGTTACCCTAGTGGGGGCCAAAGGGCTGATGGGACCTTTAGGTGAAAAGCCAGGGCAATGGTGAGTTGCGGCGACAAGAGACAAAGGGTTGAGCAAAGAGCGGCCACTGAAATGCAGGCGCATAGCACTGGCACACACACACCATCAGTGGAAAGGACCCGGGCTGCTCAGAGGGGAACGAGTCACAAACGTATTCTCTACCTCAGCACGGCCACGGTTTTCTGCGTTTGTCGGGCAGGTCAGTTCTCAGCCAGAGCTGGTACCTGTGAGTGCTGAGAGGGACGTGTCTTCCCTGGAACCTCCTCAGGCAGCCGCGTCCCGCACCTCTCTCAGCCCCTCAGCACAGGGCTGTGCACTGGTTATAACACAGCTCTGGGCTGTCCCAGTGGGGTTGGCTCAGCCCCTAGTGGAGAAGCAGCATCTGCACGTAAACAGGCCAGAGACCAGCCTGTCTGTGCTCTGGTGATTTTATCCAGATTTAGGAGTAAACAGCAATAAAGGCCCTTCCCAAGGGAAGAGGAGAACTCCTGGGCTCTGGGCTGAGTCAGGGAGGAATTGGCTGCTTTGGACATGTGTTTGTATTTAAAAACTACAGTAGATTAGGAAGAAAACGAGGGACAATGCCCAGGTCTCCACAGCATCTGAGACCTGTCACTGCCAGGGGGGGATGGGCAAACAGTGACAGACAGCTCTGGAGAGAGCTGACCGTGGGGAGACAGGAATTCCTTCTGCAGGGGCACAGGCTGTGGCTAAGGGAGCCCAGATCAGTAATTCTCCTCGGGAATGACCATCGCTCTGGGCAGCACCTTCTAGTGAGGGACTTTGCAAGCACTTAGCACAGGAAAACCACTCTGCACATATCACCATTGCACACATGGGTAAACTGAGGCATAAAATAAAAGTGCCCCAAGCGAGTTTGAAGACAGGGGATCGGGTCAGGGTGTGTAAAAGGAAGTGTATTTTTGAAAGGCGAGCAGGTTTCAGGGCAGGGGGAGGAGGGCTTTGGCCAGGGGGCTCAGGGCAGAGAACTGGGGGGGTCTGGGAGACCATGTGAGGCCCCCTGTGGTGACAAGGCCACGCTGCACCAGTGATGGACACTCCCTGGGGCACCAAGGGCCACATTGCTTGGATGGTGGCTTCTGAGGGGAGGGGGCGGCAGGGCTTTGCTTTCATTTGCCGGCCACTGGCTCCTCCCTGGAGAGGGGCATGGCCTTTATGCCCGGCCTTGACCGGTGGCTGGTCTAGGGAGAGGGCTGTGCTGAGCACTAGTTCCTCCGGGGGGAGGGGTGGTTTGCATCACTGGCCCTGTCCGGTGGTGACGGGGAGACCTGGCCACAGTTGGCCTTTTTCTTGCCGGTGTGGCCGCGCCCCTGTGGTCACTGTTCCGCATCACTGTCCCCCACACGCACTGTCGCCTTGTGGTCCCTGCAGGGCACGACTGCCCCTTCCTCTCGTGGTCTGGGAAACAATCCCATTCCAGGCACATCCTAATCTCCTGGCACAGCCGAACCCTGACCTGGCTTACAGATGGGAGAAGAGGAAGCTGCATCCTGTATCTGGTGGTCCTGGCTCTCACGGTTTAGGAGGAGTCCTTGTACAAATGGAGTTGGGGTTAAGGGCAGGGAATGGGGGGTGCAGGAGTCAGGGTAGGGTCGGGGGTCCTCAGGGAAGAGGGTAGGAGCACATGAATCTGGGCACATGGTGGGGGGCTGTAGGCTGGGAGGTGGAGGG